ATCAGAGACAGCAATAGAACAAAATAAACGGATAGATGTTTCGTCCACAATAGCAGCCTTCTCACACCACTTTCTCTTCTTTCAAAAAGGGATATCCATCCTGCGGTCTCATTGGACCCCCCTCTTTCTCCTGGACCTGCCCCTTCACCTGCCCCTTCACAACTGATGGTTTGGTAGCTCCCCAGGTTTAGTGCCTTGAAGGGCTGACATTCCTCTCCTAAGGCTGGCAGGAAAAGCCTCAAGCTTCAATAAGCTGTTTTTTAATTTGTATTTTTGCCCCACCCCTTTTGCCTCTAAGCCTCACTCGCCCCTGGAATGTGACACCCAAAAGCTTCTTTTGGCCCTTGGATTGAAAGAGTTTTCCACTTCTGCTTTAATTATTATTATTATTTTACTATTATTTATTACATTTCTATACTGTCCAAAGCTCTCTGTGTGGTATACAAAATGTATAAAAATAATAAAATAAACACAAGAGTTATAAACTAATTAAATTAAAATGCTATTTAAAATTAATTTAATTAAGACATTTATATCCTGTCTTTTCCAATGAACAGCTCATAAAACAGTAAAACAATAAAAGACCATTAAAAAGAGTCACCCAAGAATAAAAAGCACCTGGCTAATTGTGTCAGGCCCCTGAATAACCAGGGAGGTCTTTAAAGGCTTCTGGAAAGCAGGCTTCTGACCTATTGCCAAAAAGATGGCAAATTTGTTAAAGGAGTGAGACAGGAAATAGTTTTTGGGAGAGAGATTGAGAGGGAGGGAGAGACGCTGATAAGATAGATCTGTCCTTTCCAACAGCTCACCTGGTCATCCCATTGTCATCTCAGGTCAGATCTGCAGAACTTCTAAGAAGTGGAGTGACCATGTCAAGGCAAACAAAAATGTCTCACACCACCTACCAACACTTCTCTGATGAAATTATTGTCTCTATCCAGGCAGGCATGTGCAAAAATGCTATTACATCCCAGGTGTGAGAGACAGAAAGAAGGATCATTGGGCTGCATATCAAGAGAGTATCGCTGAGCTTTGGCTGTTGGAAAGTATAGAAATGTAATACATAAATAAGGACTCGTCAGTGCATTGCACACTTGATAGCAAAAATACTGCCTCTGAAATCACTGTGGTGCTTCTAGGTTATGGAGGATTACAGCCCATGTCACTACAGGTAGGAAGTAGGTCTCATCGGTGTGAACATGCTTCGGATGGTGCTGTATTTGATATCCATTTGGTCTGAATAGCTGGTGGTTTGTGTGTTCATATTATCACTAAATTTGCTGTGTGGAATGTCTGAAAAGCAGCCTCAGCAAATGTTCTTTGTATCACCACACATTAAAGGGTCCATGTGCCCAAATTATGTGCAATCCATTCCAACTCAATATTTCTGTCCTCTTTGCTCCCTCCTGCACCAAATCTGCTTGCGGAAATGACTGCATTGCATTTGCTACAAGGAATCACTTTCAGAATTGCCAAACAAAACAAAGCAGAAGTGCAGTCCCAGTATCTCAAGTACGTGTTTGTTTCCATTCCATCTCTGTAGATGCAGATGGTTCTGGGTGAGTATCTGGGTGTTTTTCACGGGGGGAAAAAGCTTCCTAGGGTGTGTGTAAAGCAGATAAGAGATCCCTGGTAAGGGCTGGCATGCTGTTTTTCCACAGGGTTTACTAAGGTTTTAGATAATGATGTCAGTTTCCCCTTATTGTTTCTGTTAGGAAGCTGGAATACTTTCTAGTTCTGCACTGAGGATTTTTTGACTGGTGGTCAACAATGACCCTAAAGTCCTCACTAACAAACTCTCCCAACAAGGGGCATTTTGGCTCAAATCTCAAGGAATATGTCCAGTTTGTACATTTCCTCATATAAGTCATATGATGGCCTAATCACAAAATCATAAGTCAAGATCCCTAAAAATCATAAGGCCAGAGCACAATGTTAGGATTTTTAATAGTATTCTAAGTTTTGAGGCTTGCCATAACACATGCTGGTGCTCCTGAATTTCCTTTTTCAGAATTTCCAGTATGTGTGCCAGAACTGTGCTGCAGCCTTGTAGAAGAAGGCATATGGTTTCAGCCAGTCCCCCATCCCACCCTGAGGGTCCATCCTTCTAGTTTTTCCCCTGACCTTTAGATTTTTCTTCCTGTTGAACTATCAAAGGAAATCCTTTTAACTGGTTGCTGTATAAAGGATAAAGCAAGCAAGTGGAAACTAGTTGTGGGAAGGTGTTAGCTTATTCTCCTGGTTGCTGGTTGATTTTTCTGTCCAGAAACCCTGAAAAGGAAGAGCCACAGTGGCTGATCATGCAGTGAGTGCCTTAGGGCACAGACCTGTGGGTTGTATCCTCACTGCTCATAAGCCTCCAGACTTGAGAGCTTACAGGTATCCTCTGCCACATAGAAGGAGTGGTGGAGCTGCTCTCTTCCTCCGTGCTCCCCTGCCCTGCAAGTCATCTGGGCACCCAGTTCCAGCTTTCTAGCTGCGGCACTTCAGATGGGAAGGAAGGAGGCTGGCATGCTCTCGACATAACCCTGGCAGCTCCAGTCTCCTCCCTTCCCCTCAGAACAGCCCCTCTACTCCTTCTCCAAGGTCGCTTCTCCAGTCTCACAGAGAAGCAGGCTGCACATCTTTTTCCTCTATGGGTTTGAGGTCACCAGAGGGACCCAAGCATGCATCTTCTGCTGAGACATCTGTTTCTGACCTTGGATTTAGGAAGACAAAGTATGGCCTAGGAGCCAAAGGGTCAGTCTCTCCAAGGAGTGGGCTGAAGCTGTAAGTAGAGAGAATAAGAGCACAGTGCTGATTTTGATTTCTGATATGACCAGATCTTTGTCCATAATAATAAGGACTGGGATTTGTTTGGTGAATTTTTATTAGTGTGTAATCTGATGTGTGTTTTATCAGAAAAAGAAACATAGAAACAGAGCGAGTCAGAAGGGGCTTCCTGGGCCATCTAGTTTAGCCCCCAGCACCAGCCGGCTCTGCTCACGACATGCCCACCATGTGGACGTCCAGCCTATCCTTGAACACCCGCACCGATGGGGCCTCAACAACCTCTCATGGAAGCCCATTCCACGCCCTTGAGGTTCTAACTGTCAGGAAGTACTTCCTGGCATCTAAATTAAACCTTGGTTCCCTGAGCTTTGCTTCACTGGAGCGTGTCCTGCCCTCCTCTGCAAGGGAAAACAGGTCTCTACCCACCTCTGTGTGACACCCCCTCATGTACCTATATGTCACCAACAGATCCCCTTGGGGTCTCCTCTTCTCCAGGCTGAAAAGACCCAGTTCCCTCAGTCTCACCTCATATGGCTTTCCCTGCAATCCAGCCACCATCCTTGTGGCCCTACACTGCTCTGATTCCAATCTGGCTATGTAATGTGGAGCCCAGAACCGAGCACAATACTCCAGTTGCGGTAGCACCAGAGTCATGTAGAGTGGTAGCAATACCTCTCTCGATCTAGAAGCCACGCTTCTGGCTATGCAACCAAGGCTTGCATGAAGGTCCTATGAGTCCCAAAAAGATTCTCAGCATCTTCTAGCTAGAATGCTTCTGTGCAAACATGCATAGGACAGCAGCCTTAGCATACAACACTGCAGCCTATATTCTTGCTATATCGGTTAAGATGATGCTTCCTGAAATGAAGCCCAGCTGAATCAGCTCCTAGAGGCACAGAAACTCAACAGTGCATTGGCGGTGGGACATGACATGTGATTTTAAGGACACTCATAGCAGGGCCTTTGCCTGTTAGGAAGGGATATAGCATAGTAGAAAGAACATCTGCTTTGCATATAAAAGCCCCAGGTTCAAGCCCCAGCTAGGAAAGACTCCTGCCTCAGACCCTCAAGAGCTGCTTCCGGTCAATGCAGACAATACTGGGCTAAACAGAGCAAGGACTAAAGGCAGCTTCAGATGTTCCCAAATCCCCTTGCTGTGAACCTGACCCTAGATTTGTTCCACAAACACACAAGCATAACTAAATAAGCAATCAGCAACCATTGATAACCATGCTATTGTACATCCAGTGGGTTTTCTCCATTACAGTGGCACATTAGGTGAGAGATTTTATATCTGTCCACCATTCTCCTTACAGAAATAAATCCTTCACAAACTTTTTACAGTGTTTGAAAAATCGTTTTGAGGATTGTTGTGCGTGTCAGTTAGTGATGTTACTAGCGGTAACCAATAGCGGTGTTGTTAGCTGCCATTTCCCCCACTTCAAGCTGAGTCTCACCAGAAACCACAGATCTGCTTTTGCCCCCCAAAACTTAACCCAGTAAATTCAAAAACAAAATAAAGCATGCCCTCATTTACAGTTCTGCAAATCTGACACTGTTGAATTTGTCTTCATTCTGAACCTCAAAGCCTCCATGTTCAGCATTCATGCTGCGCTGAACCATTCCTTGGGTTTGCCAGCTTCTGTGTTTGTGTTTGCTTGTTTACTGTTCTTGTCCCTTTAACAGAAGCCTGGCATGCAGAATTTTAGCAGGTGAGGTTTTTCTGGCATCATGGAGCAAAAATGAAGTGGAGAATGTTTTATTCATATATGTTGGGCTGCTGTAAAAGCAACACCAGGAATGCCTGAAAACAAAAGGTAGATCTTTTCATCCACATCTGTGTAACACAGCTGGAAAAATCAGTCTTCCCTTGGGATTCAAGGAAAAGCTTTGCTTTGATTCCAGGTCTACACCATGGCAGCATGAAAACAGTTCCTTCCGACCTGACCTCCCCTCCCCTTTCCTTTTCTTTTTCCTCAACCCTGCCCCCACCAACTCCTGTTGCTTTAAAGAAGCATTTATTAGCATTGGCTTATGGAAAGGAGGTAAATTACTGACTTTGCAGTTTGCCAGCTGAGCTCTATGCATACCGTCTGCAACGGGCGCGCGCGCGCGCGCGTGTGAGAGAAGAATTCTTTTTCAAACAAGAGCAGTAAAAAGAAGGGGGAGAACACACCTTTCACGTGTGTGTGTGTGTGTCGGGGAAAATACAGTTTAACAGGACTCACCCAGCTGCCTGGTTGCCCGCTGAAGTTGTCGTCATCACAGCAATAAAACGGGGGAGCGTCGTCCTTCAAACTTCGTTTAGGTTTCCCTTGTGAAGTAAGTCATACCTTGCCATTTCCTGATGAAACCCCCGCGTCCTCCTGGATCCACTCTCTCCACCAGTTTTTTTTTTTTTTTTTTAAACCTTTTGGGCCGATGATGGTACAACACAATGGGAAGCTCAGTTTTTGCCGCAGGAGTCCCAAGAAACCGGAGCCTCCAAAGTGAGAATAAAGTCCCAAGTATATGTGCTGTCACTTAGCTTCTTTCTTTCGTACTTCCTGTATTTATGTGAACGGGGGCCTTCAGGAAGAGGCAGTCCTTGGTGGTCAAGGGTGTTTTCTTTCTTTTCTTTTTTTTCACTCTCTTGTCTCTTGTTATAAACCCATATTTAGTCGTGCAGTTTAGCTCCGAGTGAATTAGACAGAGGGAAGGGCCATTATAGTTAGTCACCAACTTAGTACCTGCTTTTTCGTTTAAGTCGGAGGAAGGGATGATTTCATTGGTCATACAGGTACCTTCTGGAGGAAAGGCGGTAACAGTGTAGAATGAACACTGTAAAGGATCACACACTCACAGAGAGAGAGCAGCCCAGTGTCCATCTGCAAATTCCTAAGGCATGTGTATTTGCGTGTGTGAGAGAATAACTAGAACCAGATGGAGCCTGGAAGCCTTCATACTGTTTACATAGGACCTGCAAGAATGAAGTTCTTATGTGCCAGAGGCACTGAGCTTTCCAGCAAGTGCCGAGTGCATACGTCTCGAGCTTGCTACTGTCACTGGGGCTGGTCCTGCTGTTAAGCAGAGCGGGGCAGCTTCCTCAGGCAGCTCTTTGTGGTATCACAAAGGCAAAGGAAACTGCTGGCTATTTAATTTATTAGATTTGCACTTTTACTCCCAGTGAGAGGCTCTTATACCAAAATATATCCCTTAAGTCAGAGACCAGCTCAATTCGAATAAATAGATTTTTTAAAAAGAGGCAAATACATTAAAAGTTATCTGTCAGAAAACTTCAGTAGGATTAATAGATACTTCAGCACAATATACTGCTACTATAGTTCATATCAGTCATCTTGAGTAAGTGGCATTTCCAGACTTTGTCTTTCATCCAGCTAGGTAGAACCAGACTCCCCTCAGGATCCTTTTTCAGACACCCATCATGGCCACAAAGAATTTAGTGATACTGTACGTTAACATCAGATTGGTGTCAGACAGCAGTATATAAATATATTGTTGTTTTGTATGCCCCGGGAAATGAATGAAGCATGAATATCCCAATAAAATGTTCACCACAGCAGGATGATGTCATGACCCTCAAGTTTCAAGTGGCACTAATGGTTCTTTAGAGATTAGAAAATCAGGTATTATTTCTGATGGTGAAAAAGCACCATTTCTTCTTGTGTATTTGCACTAACCTGCAATGCCACAACTCTACCTAGAGGTTATATAGAGGAAAGGCAGGAAAGGAAGCTCTCCTTATGCAGTGTTCTGATCTGCTTCAGTGAAACAGAAGGTAGATGCACAGATTGACACTTTATGTAGAAAACACCTAGTGTTCTAATTGTAAAAAGCCCAGTCCAGGTGAGCAGGGAAAAATTGCCACTCTTCCTTGAGGCATGCAGCTAAAAAGCACAAACACAAATAGTGAAATGCCGGCTTTTAAAATGTATTTTTCTTATTTGTGATTGCACAAATTCACATCCACCTATTTTTCCTCCTCCAAGAAGCCCAGAGCGGCTTGCATGTTCTGCCTTGGTCCTCCACACAGTGCAGGGGGAGCTCCAAGGCCCTTCCCCCTGCCTGGTGGTGCCTGGGAGTGATGCTGACGGGGCCAAATGGGGGGAGTCCTGGGCACTGCCCAGCACTGGGCACAGCCACAAGCTGTGGCTGTGAGCCTCTTCCCGCCGGCGGAGGCAGCCTGAGACAGTGGAAGGGGACGGTGGGTACAGTCTTGGCCGAGATCATGACTGTGCTCTTCTGGGCATCCTTCTCCGGGATGCCTGCAGAGGAGAGGTGGCTCTGGAGAGAGCATGTCACTCGGTTCCCCAAATGTTGCTGCTCATTGCTGCCAGGGGCCCTGCATGCAGCAGTGTGCAGGACCAGTGCCACTACCTGCCTGGTTCTCACCTGCCATCTTGGGCAGATGGGGAAACGAGGTAGCTTCAGCCAGCCAGCCAGCCAGCCAGCCGGCCGAAGCAACCTCCACCACCTTGCTGCCACTCCAGGTACACAATAAGCTGGGTTCTGCTGGGCCTTCTCTGGACCCAGCAGAATGCGGCTCCTCAGCTAGTGAGTGGCCATGTGCTGAACAAAAGCAAGCACAAGCTGCATCCCAGCATCCCATTCTTGCCATCCCATCTGCTATTTCAGTCTGGCAGTGGTGGGGAAAAGGGCCTCCCCACTGCCTGCCCCACTGCAGGCCATTTTGGCTTGGGGTGACTGCAGGCAGCATCCATCACTTCAGCCCAGTCTTGAGCAGGCTGGCGTGATGGGCGCTCCCACATTTTCTCTCTCCCTGTGCCTTGTCCAGTGGTGGTGGGGAGATGGAAACCTGCATGCCATCACCTCAGTATCTGGAGGACTTGGGCGGGAATGTGATGTTGGGTACCTTGCAGGCACTGAGGTAAACCAACCATACTGTGTACATCTGGGCCTGGCCTAGCCCAGTGCATAAATCCTGACAGGACCCCTGCCTTGGCCCAACATGCTCTGTTCGGCTCAGGCTGGTTTTTCCAGTTTTCTTTGACTGAGCCTCATGGTCTGTTACCTTATAAGGAATTTTGAAGTTTCTGCTTAATACTCAAATAACACTAGAAGGTGCTGATGTCAGAGGTTGGTTGGGATCTGCAACTGGCAGAGACTAGGTAGAAAAATTTGGAGCCAGACCTTTATGGTCTTGCTTGAAGTATTATTATTAAGAATGAAATGAGGATAGGAACTCCCAACTCCATTTGGATACAACTCAGTCCAGTGCCATCAAGTGACTGAAATGGGTAATGACAGCGTCCATACAGAGACAATGGACGATCAGGGAGGGGGGACATATGGTCATCCAGATATTGGTAGATTTCCACTCCTTTCATTCCTTCCCATTGTTTGTGCGGACTGGGGTTGATGGGAGTCTGAGTCCAACAATCGAGGCACTCCCCTTTTGCCCTCTCTGAGGCCCAGCTGCAACCTTGGTAGGGGGCATCTTGCATGGTTTTTCCATGCTGACTGCAAGGGATGGGGCAGGGGTGTGTTCTTCAGAGCCCAGCTCTGTGATCACAAAGTTGAGAGCTGGGACTCCAAAGAATCCTGTGGCCTCCCAGATGATGTCAGGAGGCCACAGGATTGCATCCTAAGCTACAATATACTCAGTGTGGTCTGTTGAAAACTGACTTCTGAAATCAGGCTTGGCAGAGGTGTGAGTAACGTAACAAGGTTATTTATAGCTAGATCTTTAATGGGTTCTAAAAATATAGGTTTGCAGCAGCACGGTTTCAACCTGCCTGGAGCTTAAGATCATTGGAAGAGGCCCTGCTCCTCTACCATCTACAAGAGAAGCACATTTTTAATCTAGAAAAGAAAGAGGCTTCTCTCTGGTAGAATACAACTTAGGATCATGGAAAGTGTGCCTGACACCTACATTATCACATGATCTGTGTCGGGATAAAATCTTTTTATTTTCCCTCTGTCTGTAGCATTTATTAAGCCAACTCACAGATCAGCCAAAGCCAGGCAAGCCTCTGAGATCTCCAAAACCCTTCATCAGGCAAGAAGTTCCAAAATGTCAGTGGGGCAGGGGCAGGGGGGAGGGCAAAAGAAGTCAAGAGGGTGTGGTTATAAGAGCCCATGCATGTGGTGCTGGCTCTAGGTTTGGAGGGCCCTGGGCATCACACCCCCGGTGAGTCCCCTCTGCTCCTTCAACGAGCCTATTTTCTCACTGCCATGGTCACCAGTTCCTTTTGCTCCTCATCCCGTTCCTCATCAGGGCTGCCATTTGCTTCTTCACAAGACTGACAGCCAGGAAGCAAGCCGGTGGTGGGACCTACTTTCTACCACCATTGCTTGTCTGCTTCTCAGGCAGCACCGCAGAGTGTAACCCCCTGAACTCAGAGGCTTACGGGCATCTTGCTGAGGACAGAAGGAGCATGGAGAGGATGCTCACCTCTCCTGCCCTGTGAGGATAAGGCAGCCGCTTTGAGAGCCTCCCCTCCTTCTCCCCCCTTCCTGCAGAACGTCCTCTAACCTCCAGCTTCAAGGCCATTCCTCTGACCATGGGGCTGTAGGCAGTGCATTTCTTTCCATGCTGTTTGCCAGGGCAGAAGGAGAGTGCTCTGAAGTTATAGTCCAAGCTCTGATCTCCAAACTGGACCCATGACCACGCTAAGATTGGCTTAGCATGGCTAGACCCTAATTCTAATAAATATGTACACTGCAACAAAACAGCCTTCCCCCATATGAGCCTGCCTGTACATTGAGTTTCATTCTTACAACCTCCTGGATGGAAACCAGTGAGGGTCTTTTTGGTGGTGACTTCATGGTTTTGGAAATGTGATGCCATTTTGGGTGGGTGTATATGCAATCAACTGTGGATTGAAGGCCAGCAGCAGTCCAATCCAAAGAAAAGTGGGATCCAACTGGGGAGCACTGAATGGTGGCTCTTGGAGTGTGCGGGGTAGGTGGGCAGGCAGTAGCAGTGGTGAGCAGGCAGTTGTAGGTAGCACTGGGTGCTCTGCCTGACCCAGGAGGCTTTCACTTGCCTTGTGGGCCAGCTGACTCTCTAGTAAATACCTTGCGAGCAGAAGGGAAGCAGACTTTGGCTCTGCTGTCACCTGGGGACCACAGCCTGCACCTCCTCCTTGCCAGGCATGCCATCAAGCTGAAGGGGAGACTAACTTGTCCATGCATTTTCCAGAAGAGGAGGAGCTGCAGGGAGCTCACTTCCTCCCTCTTGTCCAAAAGAACGCTTGGGTCCAAAAAGCCATTGGCTTGTACTGTAGAAATACACAGCATTCTGGCAAGGACACACACAAAGACCCATCAGCATGGCCCAAAGTGCACTTCAGTGCCTACTTACAGCTCACCGCTTTGTTCTGGCCTTAGAAAATGGACCCTTTTCCTCTTCCTTTCTCCTCCATTCCCTTTTCTCGTGTGCTATGCCAATTCAGTTTGTAACTCCTGTGCCAGGCTTGCCTCTTATTTTGAGAAATTGTCTGACAACTGGGATAAAAATCTTACGGTCACTAGACAGCATGTGAGGGGTCCTAGGATATTACAGATCCCGTGGTTTGAGTCTGGAGACACCATTCTCACCTTGCTAGGAGGTGGAGGTGGTGGGAATCTGTGCCTCAGTCCTCTCCCCTTCACAGCTGGTGTGGTGCTCAAAGAACCTCAGTGCCTGATGTCCAACGTCAGGGACTCAGCCTTAGCGAAGGGGACATTTCACAGGCAGGGAGGGGAAAAGGGAAGGCTGGAGAGGCCAGGAAATGTGTTGCTCCAACTCCTCTCCAGCTTCCTTCCCTCCCTCGGCATTAAGCACCAGCTAGAAGGGCAAACAAGCCAATCTAGAGCAAAATTCAGGGGAGGATGGGGGGGTGTAGGCCATGCCCATGGGAAGGGCTTTCAGGCTGGTTCGCCCTCTTCTCAGCCCTGTGTAGCAAAGTTGGGTTTTCCAGGGAGAGCAGAAAGGCAGTCACTTGTCTCCTCCATCTTTCCCTTATCACATGGGATTAGGAGCATCTTTATTTCTGGGTATTATTAGCTCTTTCTGTCTCCCCCTTTTTCCATGTGTGTGTGTGGTCACAGCAAATGCCCTTCTTATTCAAAAGCCCTGCTCTTGCATTTAAATGTGAATATGCATAATGTAACAAAAGCTTATTCAACCTTGCTGGGTATCTCG